TTCCATATATAAGCATGAATTTCTTATAAAATAAAATGCGGGAGACCATTAGCTACAAACTTTCCAAAAATTAAAGTCAGTTTTTGTAAATTACACTTGTTATATTAAAAAAAAACGCAAAAGCAGTATCAAAAAAATCGTTTTTTTTTAGAAATTTTTAATAAAAAGTTGAAAATGTTGCTGGAATTTTCGTGCTATATGAACTATATTTTCATAAATAAATAAGGTAAACAATTTTTCATGCTGTACACTTTCATTTGTCACCTGTATGTATGTATGTATATCAATACAGAAACCAGAATGTCGTTTGGGTCATTCTTAAAATGAAATTGTCTTCTGACAATGCCAAAATTTATAAAATTTAAAATGAAATTCAAAACTTTTTTATTTCCATTATTTATTGGCAAATTAACTATATATACGCTTGCTAATTCACGAGCATAATTCGCATGCTTTATCCTTGAAGCTACAATTTATTATTATATCAAAAGTGTATATTTTACTTAACCCTGGGAAGGTAAACAAATTTAAAGGTTCAATAACCTTTTGGGGTTTGAATAGAAACAACAACAAAAAACGCTTATCTTCATTCCCGATTTTTCCATATTCAAATGCTCACTTGCACGCGTCTACATACATATGTAGTAAGTAGGTACATTAGTAGTAGGTATACCCCCACATACATATATTTTTTGTGATAGATGCTCTCTCTCCCACTCCGAGCACTATGATAGTTGTAGTCATATAAATGTATTAAGTATGAATGTACGTATGTATGTATGTACATATGTATGTATGTTTAGCTTCAGGCATTTTGATATTATTGTCAACACGAGTTACAGTTATTGGTAAGTGTGTGAGCAAAAATAATACCATATCTATGTATGTATGTATGCACGTATGTAATGTACTTTCATACACACCGTATAAACGGGGCCACAAATTCCTCAACAAGTTGCTAACAACTTTTTTTTTTATTATTTTGCTTTTATTTTTGTCTACTTGTCTAGCAATCGTCTACCAACAGTAGTAGTAATAGCGGCAGTAGCTATACGGTCATTTCTTTCCGGCGAAGCGTGGGGCGTATAGCAAATTCATGTTGTATACATATATGTACATATATATTTATATACAAAAACAACGCGCAGTTTAACTGGCGCATTTGTGTCTGTGAGAATTTCGGTCAAGCGTGCATATACAAACATACATCTGTGTATCTATAGATACATACGTACATATATGAATGGGAGTGTAGTAAGTATATGTGTATTAGTGAGCTATATTTGTGAGATGGTATAAGTATTTATGACAGAACCCAACAAACACTGGAACAAAAATTTTCAAACGATTGAGAAAATCGTATTTCTCAGTTTGATGTTTTTCGTCATTGTTTATCAGATGTCGAAGTCCATCGGTGGTCTGCTACATGAGTCGCAACATGGCTCTTCGACCACTATACAAATATTTCAATAAGAGTAACTGGATTTCATTTCGTACCGCTCCACTGAAGTTTGAGAAAAAGTTGAGAATTCAACATTTCTCAATTTGAAAATTTCCTATTAAAAAAGCGCCTTTTAGCTTGAAAACGCTATCAACGGTTATTTGAGATACATTTGAGAATTAACGTTTGAGATTTGAGAAAAGGACTGTTTCTCAAATGCATCTCAAATTAAGATTCAACAAAAATGTTTATTGGGAAATGCCTGCGTGTACTCGCTCTGGATTACATACACACATATGAATTTACACTAGGGTGGTCCAAAACAACTAAATTTGGAATTTTAATGCTCTCACCCCTAGGATTGTTCTATATCGAAAAAAAACGCTATTTTTTTTTAAACCAAAAACTATTTAGAGGTTTAGATGAACGCTCAAAGTATTTTATATGGGGAAAACCAACCTTTCGTGGAAATGGTATAGAATTCTCGAAAATGAATATTTTGCGATCAGAAAACTCTGGTTCTCTTCTGGAGACATCCAATAATAATACCCAATCGTTTATTAAGTTTTTTTTTTTTAATACTCAATATTTTTTATGGGTGCACCCATTGCATTTTCAGACCTATAAAATACAGTTACCATGAAAAAACGATTAACTAAACAAGTGGGTATTATAAATGGAAGTCTCCTGGAGGGAACCAGAGTTCCGATCGAAAATTATTGAATTTCAAGAATTCTGTGCATTTTTGGACCACCTTAATGTACACACACTTATGCGCATCTGACATGCAACATGTTGTTACCAGCCGAGACCTCTGTAAATATGTATATTCAAAGTAGCGCTGCCAGACAGAGAGCCGCAAAGATAACTCACCAAACAAATCGTGTAACATTGTAACTCAAATGAAATGCACTTCCAACCAACGCATGGCAGCGCAACCAAACTCCGTCTGTACACGCCGGCAGCGCAACATTCCCACCATCAACGCCACCCAGGCGAACAGCAAGCCGATAAATACGACAGCCAGCAGAGCCAGTCAAACTGCATTGCGGAACTAAATTGAATAAAGCAAGTACTAAGTAGCAACGCAACTGTGCAGCATAGTGTATGGTGCTGCATGTCACGCAAATGCACACCGCGCTCTGACTCTACAAAATATTGCATGTTGTACCCGCAACAGCAGCAGCAGCAGCCGCAGCAAAGTAGCAACCGCAATCGAGCAGCCGAATGCGCATCGTTGGCATTTATTCTTTGCTTGTTTATAGTAGGTTTGTAGATATGTACAAGTCTGTAGACGCGGTATGCAGCGCTTCCTCTTACCCTGTCGCTAACGAGGTCAACTTGATAAGTATGGTAGGTAAATTTTTGTACAAACGTAAGGGGTGTTAATGTTGAGTTGTTAGATCTTTCCAGCAGCAGTAGACGCAGGATGAGAATTTCGGTTTTTAAGCCCTTTATCATTGAAAAAATGCCACAGTTATTAGGATGTATGGATACGCTGGAGCCAAATCTACTTGTTTACTACAGACCTCTATTGCCTACAGGACAGCCGGCAGGCACTACTTCGAAAAGGATGGATTCAATGGTAGCCCCGACTACCTCCGCTGGGGCAGATCCTTTGCCGTTGGAGCGAAGGCGGCCATATGAACAAGATGAAGAAAAAGACGAAGAAGAAAACAATACCAAAATACAAGAAAAACACAGAAAAGGGCACGAGGAACAGCAGCAGCATTCGAGGCACAAGCTAAGCCGAGAGGCAGCAAACCAGCCAATCGGAGCTCAGGCATATTCCATGAGAAGGCAATTAAGGTAACGTGGTGGGCACGAGACCACCGAAAGGCAAGAGAGGTACCGAAGTAGACACGACACCGAACCCGTCTCGAAGCCGGACTGGCTCCACAGCAACGCGCGATTCCACTAGGCGAGAAATGGATTGCCACATGGATAGGTGCCCGAAACCGGTCACACTTCCGCTTCCAGGGCAACCAGGAACTCTGGATGACCGCTTGTGATTTGGCCTCAGTGCATCAGGGGCGAGACGGTATGTGAGGTACCTGCTGTTGATAGCCAAGCTGCATTGAAAGCATAAGGATCTTTAGTAGTTCAAGCGAGAATTGTTCGGAAATTCCACAAGTCGTTTGTTTTCTTCTGTCTGGTCAACGCCAATCTATGCTGGTTCCCAGACAACGCAAAACTGAAGAGAACGAAATAGCCAAGAACTGCCTGCAAATGCAAATTAACGCGGCAGATAACTCTACAGCCACTGGATCTGTGATGTTCTGCGCAAAATTGCCCACAATCGTAAAAAATCGCAAACGGCAAATGAAGTGTCAACATCTTTGTGGGCGAGGTTGAAGAAGAAGCGGCCTGCTGAAGTTTTTAGGTTAAGGAAATGGGAGAATCTATTTTGATAGTTAAATATATTCAGGTTTACAGCACAACAACAGGTTAAGCACAACAAAATTTGCATAAATCATTTTTTTTTTCTCTGGCACAATATCCGCCATACCACAACTCTTCAGGCAATACAGGATACGCATATCAAAATTTTCCATGAAATGTCGCCATATTTTGGGCTTTACATCATTTATAACGCGTATGATTTCTGTCTTCACGTAGCCCCATATAAAGAAGTCCAATAGTGTTAAATCGCAAGATGTCGACGGTCATTTGACCTCGTTGTTTCGTAAGATATTGCCTCCTGGGTTCTTCGTTGGCAATAGAATCATTATTTCATGCGCTGTGTGGAAAGTGGCACGCCGATTTGCTTGTTAACATACCGGTTTAGGTGAAAATATGCCTCATCGCACAATCAAGCAATGCGGAAAATGCACTTCTTGCAAAACGGTAATTTTCATAAAATGTTTGGATTGCTTTTGTGCGTTATTCAACTGAGTATCGCTTCATGACTAATTTGGCCAAAGATTTTAGTACCAATTGTCTGAAAATCAATAAGCAAAATGAACATTAACATATCACAAATTGCTGTCAAAGATCCGAATTACCCTTGAATCGCTCTACATTATAAAAACCAGCTGCTTCATACTGCCGCAAGTAGAAATCCGTATAGAATGTTTGAGTATTCGACCGCCTTTATCCAACCGAGATGAACTGTGGCTGGTTGGCTGCAGTGGTTTGCCAATCTTGCTGCAATCAGTTTGCAAATTTTAGTCGTTTTGAAACTACAAGCTCGTGTAAACCACTAGTAGGTTACACAGAGAAAGTCCTCCAAAAGTTGCGACCTAACCGACATGATTCGCCGCCTGGCTATCTGGGACAATGTCCGCCTGCAATCTCGCAGGTGCATTATATCTAATGTAACTTCCCACCTCCTTAATTGCAAACGTTTTCACCTGGAAAACGCTGCACTGATAGCTCCACATTGAGTTTCTCAATGAAGATTCCAGCACCTACCCCGCATTCCATTCTTGTTACGTCTGGAAAGACAGCTATGCCTAAAACATTAAGTATCTCCCAGAATCCAGGTACCGCGGCAGGATTTGAGCTGATACGGGTCTCTGGCATGAGTCTATTTATGTAGGTATTTTGGCTTATTGCCATTTATCTCTAGTAGATCTATCCGTATTAAAGGAACAGAACGATCAGAGACCCGAGTTGGGAGGGATCTCATTGCATTCGTTGCGCCAATAGCAGCTGTTCTCTGAACTCCGCTAAATGTCTGAAGTTTTTCATTCAGCGCTAGCCACCAGACTAGCGCTCCATATGAAAGTATGGGTCGGATTATAGCCGCACATGTTGTCTAAAATTTTCTGAGAAATGTGGTGTTAGCTCAATGGGTTCAACGTGGACGAAAATGTCAGCGGATTAAACGGTCATTAGAATATTTCAGCGAATGATTAATGCTTTTTGCACGTTTACAACGTCGACTACCGGAGGTGATGGGACGATGAGCTATATATAAGCTTTACAATAACAATGACGTTCACAATTGAGATACAGCAGGCAATCTGACGGGTCGCCATTAATATTTGGCTCTATCGGCTATAAAGATTACACGACGCATTTGAGTATCTTTTTTGGCGTATAATGTCCAGATGTATGAAGACAGGGAAGGCTACTCTGCAAGAGTGTATTGAAACTATCTGCATGAAAATAGTTTTGATCCTCTTAAACTTCTTCACAAGTTTAGTCCACTAAAATACCGTGATCGTTCTCGATAAGGTAAGTAGGTAGGTAGGTATAACTAGCTGCCGCCTGCAGGGACACACTAAGGCTCTTACCACACTCTGACACCATTCAATTTCACTCCTGCTGAACCATTTCGTGTCAATGATGAATTTCATTAGGCGTCGGTGTGTGAAGCCTCACTAAGATCAGCCAGGAACGGTGTTCCCAGTTGCAGCAGCCTGCTTATACCTGAGAGCATTTCCTCTTCTTTGTAGTTCTTAAAGCTTCTGCTGGCCATATCGGCCTGGATAAACAACAAATTCTCTCAGTAGCAGCTTGCAAGTGACAATGCGTTCTTTACCAGGTCGTACCTTGCTTTGCAAGTTCATCTGCCATGCAATTTCGCTGTATGTACATATGTACCTGTGATTTTGACCCCTAGCCTGTTCTGCTTAGGGAACTCCTGAAGAGATAAGCCGCAGTCCAGCGAAATCTTTGAGTAAAACGTGGGGGAGATCGGAGATTTAATTGCCTTTAACAGCCTGGCTATCAAGACTTCTTTACACTCTCCGTCAATTAATACCAAAAACCTCTACGTCAGCTCACCTGACGTACTTACCAAACTGCCCTTGTGCGCGCATTCGTTATATCGTAGTGGCGCTCAAAGTTGTCAACTGGAGAAATCAGAGCTGTCCCCGACACTGTCAGCCTGTCAATAACCTCTAATAACCTAAAAAAAAAATACATGCAGCCGCTACATTTTACTCTACAGCGGTGTTCATCAAATTGCTTCCCCTCTTTGCATAGTTTGACAGATGTAGGTACTCGTATGTATGTATGTATGTATGTATATGTATATTTATGTGTGTATGTACCTAAATAAAGGAACAACCATATATATGTATGTGTTTATGTGCAACCCTATCCACACCTGGATGCCAAGTCGTGATGTTATGCCGCGCGCTCTGTATGAAGTACTACATAGAAGCCACGTGTCTGCGCTCGAGACACAGCTGAAGAAATGCATGCAGACGTACATACATATAAACATACAACAAAAAAAAAAAACTACATAAATACCTATAGGTACATCATGTTGCTTCGAGTGCCACTTTGTTGTTCTAAATACTGTTTTTCTTTTCTAGATTAAGTGCAGTGGCACATTGTTGGGATCTTCGCATCATTTTGCTGCTTGCATGCATGCACAGTAGGGTGGTGTGTAATTTTCTTATTTCATAAGGATCAAGTACATAATTGCTATTGAAAGACAGAAAATGAATGAAAATATCGGTCTGCCTAAATTTAGGCCTTTCTTAATTAAATAAGAAGCCAAAAGCGCAATATCCGCTAAATACAGCCATGGCATAGGGGGTTCTGATAAGCGCTAGCGGTCTCTGCTGGAACAGGCAAAGTTTCAATCTAATAGCAAATCGCATCTAATTGTTAGTCTGAGTACTTTTCATTTCCAATTGAGGCTCAACATAGTATTCAGAATTTCTGCCGAGGGGTGACCAAGAAACGACACCATTGAACTTAAATAAGGGTGGCACGATACCGTGCATATAATAACAGCTGTTGGCAAGAAGGAAAATCCGCTGTATTCGAACGAATCCACTTCAACCGAATTGATTTTCTGAGCATACCTTTTGGCGCTTGCCTCGTAGATCGGGTGATAAATAGTATGAACAAGATGTAACAGGACAAAAACATCAACAACGGAAAAAAAACCTTAGGTTTGGTTAGGTTGTCTTTCCCAGTTAGATTACCATGGCCCCTTTGTGATGGCATATTAGAGTCCTCTTACCTTAGAAATAAAACTAAACAAGAAGCAGTGAGGCCTAAAAGTATGCAATAAGAAAAAGTCACAGATGCAATGTGTAATCACCCAAAGCTGACAGTATGAGGGTCATGTAATTAGATGTGGCATGTTGTTGCCAAGTTGCCCGGAATGTGTTTATGTCCTGGCACCCATACGGTGTGAGTGATGGCGATTTTTCACAGTTATGTGCTTTGGTAATTGCTTGGTTATCAGAAAAGGTTAGCTACTACATGCAACTTAGTAGAAGAATCGAGCAGCCATCTTGCAGCTTCTTTGAATGCTCTAAGTTCATCTTGAAAAACTCTACACAGATCTGGCAGGACGAAATCTTAGACCAAGAGAGAGTTCTTGCGAGTAAATCGCACTTCCTGCCTTCAGATCTATCTTAGAGCCATCAGGGTAAATGGCTGCTGAATCAGAGTTCGAGAACAAGACTGAACCCTCTACTCATTCACTGCTTGAGAGGATCCTTGTTTGGAAATTATTCTTCAGTCCAGTGGACTGACAATCTCCTTGTCTTCCTAAGAGAGAAAGACATCGACATCTCATTGATACAGCAACGTTGGTTAAGGGACCTGGAGGTTAAGTGACTTACCGACGCCCGCTATAACCTCTTCTACACTGGTATAGCAGTTAAACCCCACGCGTGTATGTTGGTTAAAAACATATAAGGCCTTCCTATGTTCCAATTTCAGCTCACCGGATACCGCTGACGTCAACTTGAAAATTGACGAATGAACGCAACTGTTTAATATCGTCCGTATACATGGCGCACGACAGGCCGTGTTCGCCATAGGAAGTCACCACTCTACAAAGGCTAGCAGGAGCTAGTTCAGTGTTACTCGGCTACGATGCCAATTCAAGGCACACATTGTGGGCCAGCTCGGAAACCAAAGATAGAAGTGAGTCGCTATTTCAATTTATTATTTCAGAACTTATTTCAAAAAAGTTATTGAAAAATATTTGAAGAAACTACCATTTGAAAATATTCCTACAAGGAGCGACCTAGACGCAAAAGGAGACCGCCTAACTAAGGTCTTCAGAAAAGCTTGTCCTCTGACGTATGGTAAAAAAGCTCGCACACGTTGGTGGCATGAAAACCTTAGAGTTATACAAGAAGGCGATATGGGACGCCAAGAAGGCGTCCTGGAGGGAATTTTGTGAATCCATCGAGGATACCAAGGAATCTGCAAGATTGGGAAAAATCCTTGCCAAAGGGCACTCAGAGCCAACATATAAAAAAACTTAGATGGTTCATGCACGGAGTCGGCTGGGAGTTGCTGGATATCCTATTTAGAAGGATGCAAAATCGACGTAGTGAAAACCGCTGCTCTAAACCATATACCAACCCTCTCCGAGGACCTCTTGGAGCAGCTACTGGAAATAGAATAGATACAATCTTCAGCTTCTCACCCTTTACATTACTGGTTATGGACAGAGTATTACCAATAATGCTTTAGAAAGCTTCTGAGATGGTTATTACAGTCCTAGAAGCAATTTTTAGAAGGTGTCTAATACTGAACCAGGTTCCGTTAAGCTGGAGGAAGATTAAAGTAACTTTTGTTCTAAAGCAGGTAAACAGGGTCATGACAATGCTAAAGTTTTTCGACTAATAAGCCTAATGTCCTCTGTGCTCAAGACGTCTGAGAAGCTGTTGAATCTGTACATTAGGGACGAAACGTCCAATTTATCATACTCTCAACGTACCTACCTAAAAGGGAAGTCAACGGAGGCTGCACTATAAGAAGTGGTGCGTAGAATTGAGAGTTCGTTCTACCATAAACTATTTACAAGGGCATCCTTTATAGACATCGAGGGACTTTTAATAATATTAGTGCAGATTCTATTCATGAGGCACTTATTAAAACAGGGATTGATTACTGCGTCCGAACTTGGATAGTGTCTCTGCTAAGTAACACGAGTAATACACGTCGAATTGGCGCTGAGAGGCTCCCCAAAGGTAGGAGGGCTTTTCTTCTTCTGTGTCTATTCTATTGGCGCTAATGGCTGCGGAGGAGTAAGTGCTCCCTTCAATAGTATCCCAACAAGAACGGCTTGCTAAGCTTGGTGTTATGGTCTTTGCCTTGACTAAGAATATTTAGGTTTTGTTTTGTAAATGGTGCGCAGGTGTCATCAGAAGGCATCCCATGGCAGTCCTAGCCGCGGCGCGGTTGATAACTTCAATTATGGTGCAGCGCACTGCCGTAGGGGAATTATACACACCGGAATAAATGGTAGTCTGATAGTCCAAGATCTAGGTTATAAGGCGAGCGAGTTAGGACTTTCCATCCGGTATTGTAGCGATATGTTTTGTGCGACATACGACCGAGCATTGTCATGGTGGAAGATTAATAATTCAGCTGGTTGCCCATTCCGCCTAGTTTTCCGTAATCCTCGCCTCAATCGCAAAAGCTGTTGTCAGTAAAGAGCGCCGTCGATCGCCTGACCGCTTTTTAGAAGGTCATAATACAGGATTCTCTTCTCATTCCACCAAATCCAGAGAATTACCCTGCTGCCTCGAATGAGTACACCTTCTGGAGCTTTGGATTGTCGATAGGAATGCATTTTTCATCGCCGGTGACAATCTAATTTAAAAACGGCTTCGCTTTGCACTGTTGAAGGAGCATTTGGAAAGCAGTGATCCTTCGATAACTCCCGTTTTTCGAGTTCGTCAGGCATACAGTTTCCGACTTTATGGACCATACCAATGGCTTTCAATCGCAATAAAATATCTTGTTGAGTCACATCTAATATTGCCGCAAGTTTTTTTGCGTTTGGCGTGGGGTCTTCGTCTAAAATTCCCGCCAATTCTTCGCGCTCCTTGTCAGTTTGTGTCAAACGACCACTTTGGAAGCGTCAGATTCAGTACGCACAGGCTGAACTTGATGCAGCATGCTCTCCGTAAACCTCACACAGCAGTGGATGACTTTCTATTGCACTTTGCTTCAGATGCAAGCTACCCGCAAATGGAATTTCTTAGCTGCTACATTATCCGGTATGCTTAAACACTACCGGCACCCTGTGTTAAGCGCGTCCTTTAAAATTTACTTGTATACCCGACATTAATTTTCACTTTATTGCAGATTGTGGCGCAGTGAGTAAGTATAGCACTTTAATTATAGATTCCCTTCGAAGCTCAACCACCCTAATGCATGCCCATAATACCACAAATAGTTTCCGACTTCCTTCCGCTTTACGAAGAAGCATTTCAAATGCAATCACTGCATTTTATAAAAATAGAGCTATATGTATGTGTGTAAGTACTATGTAAGTTTTGTAAAAATGTTTTTATATAGAAAAAATCTANTAAACCTCACACAGCAGTCGATGACTTTCTATTGCACTTTGCTTCAGATGGAAGCTACCCGCAAATGGAATTTCTTAGCTGCTACATTATCCGGTATGCTTAAACACTACCGGCACCCTGTGTTTAGCGCGTCCTTTAAAATTTACTTGTATACCCGACATTAATTTTCACTTTGTTGCAGATTGTGGCGCAGTGAGTAAGTATAGCACTTTAATTATAGATTCCCTTCGAAGCTCAACCACCCTTATGCAGGCCCATAATACCACAAATAGTTCCCGACTTCCTTCCGCTTTACGAAGAAGCATTTCAAATGCAATCACTGCATTTTATAAAAATAGAGCAACTATATACACACATACATACATATATGTATGTATGTGTGTAAGTACTATGTAAGTTTTGTACAAATGTTTTTATATAGAAAAAATCTGTGTAGCAAGACGGAAGTGGAGCAGTATGGTCTAACGCCATATTTCCCCCACACGGCCCGCGTGTCATAAATTACGGTCATAAGTATTAGGCGTATGAAATTTTATAGATGTACATACATACATAGGAATTTGTGAATGAGTACAAATGCGTTTGCATTAGACCGTACCAGAAAAAAAAAAGTTCGCTGTACATCCCTGAGTCGTAAAGAATTTTTGCAAGGCAATTTCGAAAAATAAAAAATATTCCGAACGTGGGGCTGCCGTTTTAAATTTTTTCGTCATATTTTCGGTATTTACGGTGGGTGCATAAAGTATGTGTACCAGTTTGATCGAGCTTTGCTCGAAGTGCATATACTTTTTAAAGTTTTCAAGGTTTGGATATCAAATACTGGTCATTTGGATAGCTTTAAAAAAATATTTTGGAAAAGAAATTGGATTCCGATATCTATTAAGTAAATTTCTTCTTTAAAATTTGGATGGCAACTCTATTTAGAAATACGCTGGAATGAATGGAATCTTGAGCGTATATGCACTGTGTAAACACACAAGAAAATGCTGATTGAAATTAACNATTTTTTCGTCATATTTTCGGTATTTACGGTGGGTGCATAAAGTATGTGTACCAGTTTGATCGAGCTTTGCTCGAAGTGCATATACTTTTTAAAGTTTTCAAGGTTTGGATATCAAATACTGGTCATTTGGATAGCTTTAAAAAACTATTTTGAAAAAAAAATTGGATTCCGATATCTATTAAGTAAAGTTCTTTCTTTAAATTTAGATGGCAACTCTTTTTAGAAATACGCTGGAATGAATGGAATCTTGAGCGTGTATGCACTGTGTAAACACACAAAAAAATACTGATTGAAATTAACAAAAGAAAAATTTTTATTACATAGAAGCGTGGCAACCCTGATCGAAATATTATCGAACCAAAGTTCTTAACAATACATGCGATGTTTTAGATAAATTGTGTAGAATCGAAAATAAGTGGCAACCTTACACTACTATGCTAAGGGATAACACTTTGTATACAGGGAAAGCATTGTTTACGAACCTTCTCTTTGCTCCCATGAATAGTAATATTTTAACTTTCTTCTAAACGAAAAATTCAATAAAAATGCGATTGAAAATAGGTGGCAACCCTTTAAAAATATATTTGAATATTTGAATGAATATTTAGGAAGTTTTATAATACCTTCCATTTTATAACCATATCATGATGTTTTAAATAATTTGCNATTTGTATTACATAAAAGCGTGGCAACCCTGATCGAAAATATTTTCGGACTAAAGTTCTGAAATATACCTTTCATTTGATATCCATATTGCGAGAGATAAAATGTGTAGGATCAAAAACAAGTAGCAACCTTACACTACTATCCTAAGGGATAACATTTTGTATATAGAGAAAGCATTGTTTACGAACCTTCTATTTTGCTCCCATGAATAGTAATATTTTAACTTTTTTCTAAACAAAAAATTCAATAAAAATGCGTTTCAAAATAGGTGGCAACCCTATTAAAAATATGTTTGAATTAGGCATTTTTAAAATACCTTCCATTTTATAACCATATCATGATGTTTTAAATAATTTGTAGCTAATTTCGAATAAGTGGCAACCTTATACGAGTCTTCTCGGAGATAATGCCTATTCAGATAACCTTAAAATGCAAAACATTATCTTTGTACAAAATTTCATTAAAATCGTTAGAGCCGTTTCCGAGAACCTTATGGATATATATACAAGATTTGCTTGTTTAATATAATATGATATATCGCCGTTCTTGTCTCGACGAAACATTTCTTTCCAGAATCCATTGAATTTACCTTGTTCTAGTTATTACCCACAAGATCTCAGTCCTTATCACCCTAACGTACCACCCCAATGTCATTTAAAATTTTTTTTTTATTATCGAATCTATGTAGGTGTCACCGAAAAATTTTGGTTCGGCAAAAAAAAATATTTTTTTATTCGAGGTTGCTTTGCAAATATATTTTTGACACAGGAGTGTAAGGCGAACTTTTTTTATTTCCTCATAAGATAGTACGGTCTAATGTATGTAAATACGCCTGCATTTTTGTTTGTAAAAACTTTGTTACAGGAACTCATTTTGTTCGATTGTCCATTTCGTTTGTTCAAGCATTCCACGTGGCTTTCTCCCACATAAGGGTAGGGGCGTGTTCAACTAATTGGAACAACAGCAAAAAAAAAAACAGAAAAACAACAACAATAAAAGCAAAAAATTAGTAACAAATACAATCAAGAAAATACATACATATTCACCAAAACAACAACACAGCGATAAGATGACATGGCGCTCACACATACACCGATAACCGCCTCTTTAACTGCCCACCAGCACGCTTGCACATTCAAGCTTTAAGAGCAGCGCAAAACTTTCACACTTACTCACTAATACTACAGCGTGCATTTTGTTGTATTTACGCACACACACACACACACTCAGGTATTTTTATACCTTAGAATGGAGTACTACATAATTCAACGTCTCGTCGTCATTGTGCCCAAAAAAAAATTGTTTGATTCTCAAATGTGCGATATTTTTAATTGCATTTCTCTGCGGTAGCGATCGCCCGTTTAAGAAGGGGGAGGCTTGTTTGCCGCGCTCTCCCTCACCAGCAACAGCTACTGCTACGACTGCTGCGGCTACTTTGCTAAGTACTCGATGGTTTTATTAAATGAAATACGACATACAAATATGTGTATTAATACATACGTACATACATACGTACATACAAACACATATCTTGCGGACGTGTGGATTTTATCACGTGCACAATGAATGACACACGAAAAACTCTTAAGTGCTTTTCAGTTTGCTTGATTTATATGAGAAATTTAAGAAATTTCCAAACGAATATTTTCATTTTGGAATTCCAAAGGAAATTTTCATTTTATTTAAGAATTTTTAAATTGTACTAATTTAGTAATTTGTCACAAAGCGAAATGCGAGCAAGCCTAGAGGAAGTTGCACTCAAACGCGATTTCTGTATGGCCGCAACACCGTCGGCGCCAAATTGAAAAAAAAAAAAACATTCATCAAATTTTACTACTTTCTTAACTATTAAACTACATTGAATTTTTAAATTTCATATTTAATTTTTTAATTTTAATTACATACCACTTAAATATCATCAACTAACTATCAGCTGCCCAATTCAAAATCTCAATGTGAGCAACCAACGTCTAAGCAAGCGGCTGAGCATGCAAAATTTTTTGGCATTTGCCAGCCACAAACGAGCACATGCCCAGTTCTTACAAAATGGTTTTCATTATCTCGCCAGTGAAAGCTTTTTGGCGCTCCAAATAGCGTTGTGTTTCTTTAAAATGGCGGCCTAAACTCGAGCGCCACACGCGCCAATATCAGCCAGCCAAAGTATACATGTGTGTGTGTGTGTTTGTGTATGTGACGCTTTTACCGCCGCATTTCACAGCTCCGCTACATACATACATACATATGTAGCACATGCACACTCACATACATACATCCATATATATATACAATTATATAGTTTTTTATTTTATAAAACAAATACATACTATTTTGCAATTTCCGCGTATAAGAGGAAGAGCACAATGGCTTTACAATAAATTTTTTCTAATTTAGGGTGGAAAAAACCAAACGTACTTCAAAATAATTTTTTTTTTTAATAAATAAAAATTACGCTTTATAAATAAAATCGTTTCTAAAAATGTTCATCATGTTCACGGTAAAACAAGTAAAATGAGTAGTGATGTGCGAAATTGACAGTACCCAATACTTTTAAAAAAATGTTGGTGCCCAATACTTCCGTTTTCGATATCCGATACCGATTCACTGCAATAAACCTAAGCCGCAATATCCATTTAAAATTTGGAAACAAATTATTTCGCCTAAAAAACACAAAAAGTAGTAGGCGAACGCTAGATATGAATTTTTTATTTTTTTGATGCGTTAAGTATCGATCCTTGGATCCTATCTCGAATTACCAAACCATATCAGGCACCTCACAAATCTATTTAGAAGTGAATAAAGGCCAGGCTTCTCACTTTTTCAACCAATTGCAGCTTTGCTCAGAACCAATATAAAGTTTGGGTATATAAGAAAATGGTTAGCAGTGCGCACTTCCACTCCATTCAGGGCCTGGGTCCGAGCCCAGTTTCCGAAGAACATAAAAAAAAGTTTTTCTAATAGCGGTCGGCCCTCAGCAGGCAATGGCAAATCTCCGGGTGTATTTCTGCCATGAAAAACAGCTTATCATAGAAATACAACAACAACAAGGCGCAGGCTTCATATCACAGAAAAAGCTCAGTCAAACACTAACATATTTCCGGGACTCAAATTTATCTACAATAATGGGCAAAATGGTTTAAGAGGATTTGAAACTACACCGAAAAATTTTTAAACTGATAAAAAAATATATAATTAGCCCTCCCGAAACCATTTTAACCGTTATGTTACATAAACATTTTAAGCTTAAGATTTTTCGACGATTAACACGTCCAGTGAATCCTCTAATTGTGTAAGCGCCAATCTTCTACTATTATTATTATATCAGAAAGCTGCATAATGTCGTTTTACATTGGCAGTATATACGATTTTTGAGCATTTAGGCAGAGGAGAAGTTCAACAGACCACTCAAGAATTGAGCGCAAGTTCTCACTGAGCCTAAGACCATGCTGATATGGTTAGTGTTTTATGTCTCTATGTATATATATGCCTTCAACGTCATCAGCGTAGGCGTACAGACGAACATAAAGCAAGTGTTGTAAAAATCTATCAAAAAAATACTGAAAAGGAGATCTAGAACAGAGCCCTGTAGTACTCCAAAACATGTGTGCGCTAATCCTGAAAATAAGTATCTAGGTATGTTGTCGACTTTAAATTTCTGCACTCTAATACTTAAATATCTGATTATAATCTTTACTTCAATTTCACCAAATCCAAAAGACACAGTTTGCTAGTTTTTCAGCCAGATGGCTGTGGTTTGGAATAGAAGACATAACGATATCGTCCAGTACTTTGATGAAGGCAATCTAGCAAGAGAGAGTAGCTCTAAAACCAGAGTAAAGTGTACGGATATATCGGAAAAATCAGAAAAATGTAAAGGTAAAAAATTGCCTACCGCGAAACCTACCAGCCATACAAAAACTATCTATATAATTTTTTTTTTTTTACTCCCTCATTCCCCGCATTGTGAAGTGTTCAATCTATGAAAGATTAATAACAAGGACGCACGCGGACGCAGCGCAGATTCGTGTTGTTAATAGTTTTTGGTGTATAGAGTATTTTTGTATCAAGCATGGCGCGGCAAAGAATCATTCTCATTGACAAGTGCATGAAATCATAAAAATGTTCGCAACTCTGAAAGGATTAGGAAATATGATGAAAACATGTTATGTAGCAAGCGTTGTATACTTTTTAACTTGGCATTAAAGACAAAGGTAAATTCAACAAGGACCGATCGCTCAACTACGGTTGTGAAGTGCAAACCGACTTTCTGCGTCCTTAGAAAAAAACAAAAAAAAATTACAACGTATTGGTTGCCATATCTATATTCTTATAATTCACTTAGTGGCATATTTTTTTGACATTTATAATATGGGACTTTCTGCCACTTTCTCAGCCACTACGCGTCAGAACAACAGCAGTTTTTTTCCTTCCATCCACATTCGCATTTAGCTGCCCTAGAATGGCAGCTCATCCAATCGCTGATGCTGCTCAAAACATTGTTCCCTTTCAACTGTTTCTTGATGTTATAGCGATGGCCACATCAAGAATCAGGAAGCAGCAGATAATCTTTTACATATGTACACCATTTTAGAGATCCGTTATCGCTAAAGAATGCAAAGTTGCTAAGTCCATTTTTTTTCGGATTTTAGTTTTTGATGCAGATTGGCAGACATTGCGCCACTGATTCTGTCTCTAACCCCTCCACTATCAAAGTATGTACAATCAACAGCCCAGCTCACCCAATTGCCAGCAACGTAAGACAACCGGCATAACGCGTGGCAGTTGGTATACCTTACCCCAGAATGCATATTTCTCCCTGTCAGCTAAATATAAAAATCATGGAGAC